CGATATGTCTAACGCAATAGACATGCGTAGAAGGAGGGTCATGCCAACCGTTTTCAGGATTATTGTATACACTTTCAATGGATGCATGTCTATCTGAGATCAAACTGTTGTTGTTGCCCCTCAACTAGGGCAAAGGCAATTGGGAAAATGTTGTTGTTGCCATCTTGTGCAACTGCCATCAGTAGTGTGCCTTTGTATTTTCCATACAACCAAGTCCCATCAATTTGTATAATTGGTTTGCATGACGCAAACCCTGTGATGCAAGGTTGAAATGCCCAAAACACTCAACTGAATATTCCATTTTCGTTGAGTTGACTACCATCCGGGGCGTATGCTGGCACTGTTTCCAGAATGTAAACACTACACGGAGAATAAGTCTGGAGTGCATTCAGGTAGCGAGGAAGTTCTTGGTATGACTCCTCCCAGTTTCCGTATACCTTTTCAATCGCCTTGGTCTTTTCTAACCACGCCTTACGGTAAGACGGATTATAGTTAAAAACCGTAGTGATGTGGGAGATAATGGTTTTCACCTTCAAAGATGGATCGTTACTGACGAGTGGTAGGATTTCTTGACAAATGAGATCATAATTAAGTTTTCGATGATCCTGTGATTGAGTAGAACTGACACAAGTGTGGGTAGACATGGAACCTATGACCCAACAATCACCTCTTAATCTGTATGATGCAGTGAGCTTGAACATACAATCAAGGTGGACACACTTGATCTTGTACCTTTCTGGATTTACACGGTCCACCTTAAAATCGACCGAGTTGATCATGTGGAATTTTTTTATGGCTCTGATACATTCTTCTCTGTTACGAAACTTGTCTTTCTCTTTTAATTTTTCATCCGACTTCATATACGGATTGAAAAATAAATCAGAAGATGATTCATCTCCGCCCATGTTAAAGTTTGTCATGTGTGGAGGTGGTGTGTAGATATCGTTTGTAGGAATACCATGTATCCCATCGTCTTCGGAATCATCATTGACCATTTCTTCAAACTCTAACTCGTCATCTTCTTCTTCTTCATCAACTGCATCTACCTCTGCTTATTCGGTCTCCAAAGGATCAACCACTTGTGTCACCTGAGGCTCTCGCAACATAATGTACAACTCAATAGAGTCGTACCCAGAATACTCATGACTGGAAAACATATTCTGAAGATCCTCGTCATCTTGAACCTCAACCTTATAAAATATTATTTGGTTGTTACCAAAAAAAATGGATTCTGATAAAATATTTGTGTCACCGGGCCTCGTCCAAGTTTGGTCTCCAATCGTTTTTTGAAGCACAAGAAATTGGCTTTCCTGTTTAAACAAAATCGGATGTTGTCTGTGTCTCTAAACAAAAACCCAGAGGTGGGACAAATGTATGTCTCACTGTTTAAATGTGCACTGATGACATATTGGGGGTTCAGAGGCCATTGCGTATGATTGTTTGAAGGTTTGAAGGTTGGAAGATTTGAAGTTTATGAGTTATTTGCAGGAATTTTTGAATGTTCTAGTGTTTAAGAGATTAAGTGAATCAGTGTTTTGATAAATGTAAGACTAAATAGGTCATACTGAATTTGAATTAACTAAGGTTGTAACCTCTAAGACGCCTCCCATCACGTCCAATAGTGTTACCTAGCCTGTCACCTAGCCTGCGCTTACTCTGCAACCCATGCCACCTCTTATTCGCCAATGGGGATGGCGACACCTTTCATTTTTGTACTCTTTCGCCAAGTCCAATGGCGCCTCCCTTCATGTCCAATCGTGTTACATGCATGCAGAGATGCCTTCTCCAAGGCTGCCACCTAGCCTGCACCTACACTGTAACCTCTAAGGCTCCTCCCATCACGTCCAATAGTGTTACATGCATTCAGGGATGCCTTCTCCAAGGTTGTCACCTAGCCTGCGCCTACTCTGCAACCCATGTCACCTCTTATTCGCCAATGGGGATGGTGACACCTTTCATTTTTGTACTCTTTCGCCAAGTCCAATGGAGCCTTCTTTCATGTCCAATCGTGTTACATGCATGCAGAGATGCCTTCTCCAAGGCTGCCACCTAGCCTGCGCCTACACTGCAAGAGTGACACTTATCATGCATGCATGCACCAGCTACCACCTCACTTACTCTATGCAATTTTTTTGCCTATAAATACAGAGCATAACATACTTCTCTCGCACCCACAATCGTCTCACTCTCTGCTACAAACTCTTTCATAATCCCTTACAATTTTAAACTCTTTCATAATCTCAGACATTTTCAACAATGGCTCTTCTCATAATGGGCGATTCTCACAGAGGCACAAGGGACAACATTGCAGCATTTGTAAGTTTCTTTTATAGTTATACATTTTTCATACTTCTGGTAATGCTTTGTTCATATTACTTACTCTTACACCTTTTACATTTTTAACTCAGGATACCAAAAGATTCAGAATATGGTCTCACAACTACCTTGCTCCCGACCCATTGATCGTACCATATCTGGAATACGCAGGTTTCGGACACGTTATAAAGATCTCCAACTGCACAATTGATTCAAAGTTCATACTTGCAATGTTAGAAAGGTGAAGACTAGAGACCCATACATTTCACCTACCAATAGGTGAATGTACTGTCACGTTAGAGGACATGTACATGTTACTGGGTCTCCCTGTCGACGGTAAGGCCGTTAACGGGTCGGTTCAACAACCCAATTCTCTGTGTGAAGAATTGTTGGGCAGGGATATGGTTGAAGGTGGTGGTGCGAGAGGTCAGGGTATACTACTAACTGAGCTTAAAAATCATTATGCGAATTTGGAATTAAACGAAAATTTCTCTGACCTGGCCAAGGTAATAAAATCTAGAACTTACATAATGATACTATTTGGAACCTTTTCATTTCCCGAAAGCACGGGAAATAGTATAAATTTTATGTATTTAAATTTACTTAGAGACTTCGAAAAAACTAGAAAGTATAGTTGGGGTTCTGCTGTTTTAGCCCACCTATACAGTTCCTTGTGTAAAAATGCAATCAAGGAAAAATGTACATTTTATGGCTGCACTTTTTTACTTCAAGCCTGGGATTGGTGGAGGATGGAGTCCCTAAACCCCGTCAACAACAACACATTCGTTTTCCCGTACGCAACAAAGTAAGTCATCAAGTTATATCATTTATTACTATTCATCTCTGCACCAAATATATGATAAAAATAAAATATTTTTCATTTCCTTTAGGTATTGCGTGAGTGGTATGGATTACGGCAAGAATTCAAGATTCAATGTCGCACTATACCGCAATCTATTGGATCACCTTGGCCCGGATGATGTACGTCGTACCTTTCAACTTTTCTACTTCTAAAATAATTTATATATTACATTTTCATTAACCTGATTTAATTTTATGCGCAGTTTGTTTGGAGACCATATTTGAGTTTGGGCCATGAACCAAACCCCGAGGATGCAGCAATTTGGAGCGCCAAGACTGCAATCATACGGTTCAATGTTGTGGAGATGCACCACAACAACCGTGTGAAGATGCAGTTTGGAATGCATCAAGAAATACCCAGCGATCCGACTTGTTTATCCCTGTGGCATCTCAAAAGGGTCGATGCCCAATGGGGTCTTACCAACTGGAAAGGCTTTGCTCCAGAATGGTGTAAGATGTGGCAGAGGCGTCACCGACATGTCTTACAATTCCCAGTTTTCCTCAATCATGGTAATATGCGACACACAGATCAGTATTTATCTTGGTACATATTAGTCAGTAACCCTGAAATGCACGTGTCTCATCCAAGGTATTTGGTTGACCCACGAACACAATGGGCACAATTCTCATTTCCCCAACAACAAACCCAACACACATCAACCTCCCACCAACCCCCAAACGAAACAGAACCACAAACACCCAACCACAGTCCCCACCACAATACAATTACACCCACATGCCCCACAACCAACCACAATCACCACCTCAGTACCAATACCTCCATATGCCTCACACCCAACCGCAATTTCAATCACAATACCAACACACCCGCATACCCCACACACAATTTCAGTCTTCTGCATATCCCAATATGAGCCCTTCAATATCCAACCTTAGCCCTGATCTGGGAATGTCGAAAGATTATGAACCAACCGACCCAACTTACCATCAACCACAATATCACCAAACCACCCAACATCCTCAATACCAAACACCCCAAGATCCATTTCCTTTCTACCCCCCGTACTCAGACGACCAATGCTACAGACCAACCATGGAACCCCATCCACCGCCAACACGACCAAATTTTGAGGGTATGGGTAACCGAATGTACCAAAGCGGATCTTCTAGATATGGAGATCTGACTGATTTCATGGATCCAGAACGTATTGACTTCGCTGGGCCGTCGACCCTGCCACAGCAGGAAACGTGACGAAACCCAGCACGGGAAAGACGAGGACGGGGATGCGGAATCGGGGGTCATTACCGGGTTCCAGGGGACCACTGATTAATCTGTTTTTTTATGTAATACTTATGTGTGTAATCATATTTTATAAATAAAAAATCAATTTTGTTGATCCTATATCGAATACGTAACGCACCGCATTGAAAAAAAACGCGAAAATTGCCCTAGCAAATGCACTAAGGCGCCATCTCACTTGGCTTAGGGCTTGCCCTAAGCACCTAGGCGCCAAGTGAGATGGCGCCTCCCCTTAAAAGGTAGATGTAGGCGCCAAGTGAGATGACTCATCCTTTGAGGAGTCATCTGAAACATGGTTATTTGCGTAATTTTTTCCGAAACATGATTATTTGCAAAAAAATATTTTAATACATGGTTATTCCAAAAAAAAATTCTCAAAATTAAACTTATAAATTTAAGTTTTTATCAGATATAAGTTTTAAATCTGATTTCGATCCAATTCGACCTATTGTCTGACCTTACTAAAATGTGACATTTATGAAATATGATTTGCAAAAATCATGCAGACGGATAATGGATAGTTTTATTGATTAAAATAGCCTAATTTATCTTACAAATTACTTCAACTCCATATATCTTCATCATATACTATTGAAAAATATTCAGATTCCATTGGCAAAGGTGTCAGTTGCGCTGGAACATGGGACATGTCACCTTCATATGGGTGCGTCCAAAAACTATCAACTGTAGACTCTGTGTACGCATCTAGAAAGCTGCTAAAGTCATTACCATGAACAAAACTTTCATTGGACGAATGATTGTGAGACACTAAAACACCATCATTATTGGTTGTATCATTAATATTGTTTTGCACTATTTCACTTGGTGTGTTTGAAAGATCGTCCAACCAAAAACTTTCATCCATGGATTCTATAAATGCATCTAGAAAACCAAAATCATCTTCAGCTGTGGAAGAGAATTCACTGGATGAAGAAAATGGAGATAATGGGCCAGAGATGTCTGCGATTTGGGAACTCGCTGGAGATTTGGTAACTAGGGTTTCTTCATTTGAGATTGTGTTCTTGTTATGTATAACTCTCTTCTTAAGAGAAGTATGCCAATGGTTCTTCACTTCGTTATCTGTTCTTCCAGGTAACTCAGCTGCAATGACTGACCATCTATTGCCCAGATTTTTATGCATTCGGATAATCAGTTCCTCTTCTTGTTCGGTGAAGTTCCCTCTTTTGATATTAGGCCTTAGATAATTCAACCACCTTAATCTACAACTCTTTCCACATCTTGAAAGACCTGAAATCAAAAACAACTAGTTAGTAAATTACACAAATTATCACAACCATCATAAATACAATTTCATGTCGTATATATTAATTACCTGCAAACTTAGGGAGTTGGCGCCAATTCCAGCAACCATATCTAGTTACATAAGCTATTAATTTCCTATCTTCCTCAGCTGTCCATGTCCCTTTCCTCATTCCACTTTTGTCACAATAAGGTGTTCTCGCCATCAGTGAGTGAGTGAGAGTGTTTCTGCAAGATGAGAAATATAATGGTTTCTTTGTGTCAGACCATTCTAATTGAATTTATAGTAGACGCTTTCACATCCAAGACGTGTTTCATATACCAACATGTTTTATAATATTAATCAATCATAAGGGTCTTTCTCAGCAGATACTAGTAGAAAGTAAGTAACTGCTATTTATGAATAGTACTAAAATTAGTCAAAAATTTGTATTCAAAAAAATAGTCAAAGTTCGTGGTTCATGTTCCTTTTCACATAGAAAATGAGTAGATAATAATAGTGTCATTGTCTATCACATATTCCTTATCTTCCAAGAAGCTAACAAGAAACATTTCCCACGCTTCCTTTTAGCTTTGTTAAATTAACACGTGAGGCAAATCTAGTAATGGAAACTCAACATAAATTACAGTCAAGCCATTATGACCATGTTGATGACTTTCTTTTGGTCCTCAAAATAATTTATTTTATAAAGTTCTAACCAAATCTACTCGGTCCCCAATTAAATGTTATTTAAAAATTACAAAACTTATTTTAATGGGGCATTAATGTTTATTTTTCTATCTCACAATTTTTGTTGGTTGACTCAATGTCCGTTTTGCACGCGATCGCGCGTTATGGGCAAAGACAGGAAGGGTTTGGGCGATGTATCCATGAAAGGGGTGTCACACCGAGAGAGGGACACTCAAACCAACAAAAGGGTGGAGACAATAAGGGGCGAAACATATACCTTCTCCTCGCTTTGAGGATCTCTTTCAATCATACCACTATACAGTCTCTCAAGTACAAGGACTCGTAGAGGCCGAAGTATTTTAACCCCTTATTCCCCTTCAATCTTTTCACAAGAGATCAATTGAAACTTTATTCTTCCCTTCGGTTTTTGAGACTTAGTTTAATCTACTTGACGGGACTTAGTTGAGTTCCTCAAGTGACACTTAGTTAAGTCCCTCAAGCGGGAGGTTAGTTAAGTCCCTCTGATGCATTCACATGTGTCTGAGCATGTATCGCACATCATCTGGAAAACCACAAAGCGTCAATAAGAGGAAAAAGCATGTGAGACATTTAATATCATCAATGATGACTTAATCTTGGGACACACAATTGCCCTTATTTCCCTGACACATGTTCAAATGTACAAAACCTTTCACATATGACTTAAAACCTACGGACCTTTGATTACCCCTAGTTTTTCTCTCATATTTAAGAAGACGAAAACCATCTTTTTTATTTTTTCCACACACTTTCTTGCTATAACTTGTAAAGTCTACTTCTACTTTCGGTACCTCTTGCATTGCAATGAGCTCAAGTTCATACTATACACATGTACATGTTTGACACTCCATTTTTCCTTTTTACATTATGGTGATTATTAGAGACTTAGATTAGGATGTCAGCCTAGATGAACCCTTAACTCATGATGAGTGTATCACCTTATGGAACTATTGCTATAAAATGCTAGGTGTCGCGGCTGGACTATTGACTATAGATTGGTGGATGTAGGCTTATTTGTCAGTTGTTAGAGATCTCTTAACTCTGAGAGTGATCAAATTGATGGAAGTGATAGTGAATCATTGTTTCTTTATGTTTTTCTAAGGAACATGAAGATTGTGAATACCTCTGACCCTTAACCCAAGGATGTAAAGGATGTTGGACACGTCTACACCATCGACGACCACATAGCCTCTCTTCGGAGACAACATTCTTTTTCTTCCTGCAATGACAAAGAAGAAAATGTTCTTGATGTGTGCTCTATGGCGAAGAGGGCCATCATGGCCGCTTTTGACGCCTCTTATACTTCCTCATTTTACTTTTATTCATCCACCATTTATGAGGTTGTGGTTCGCTTCCTTATTTCTTCCTTTGCGGAAGAGGTTCTTATGGGGAACAACATGACGCCTTCCCAAATCACACAAACGAATATTTTACAAAATTATTTTAAATAATTTCACTTATCAAATAATTTTTAATGGACATTATTTTCCAAAACATAACAATTCACCCCCCTCGTATGTTTGGAGTCATTTATCCTACTATAATAAGATTAAGCATCTTAGGAGGTAGTATGGTGACTTCAAACATTTTTTTTAATTTAAAGACTTTCCTAAATACAACTCCACATTTTGATGGTGAAAAGAATGACATATGAAAAGCTAGAATGAAGATATTCATGGAAGCTAATAACTTTGAATTGTGGAACACTACAATTAATAATTCTTTATTCTTATTATGTTAGTAATAAAATAGTAAATAAACTTAATTTTATTTGGATCGAAGAAGACAATAGAAAATGAAAATTTGATTTTGAAGCTAAGTACTTATTGACGAGTAGTCTAAGCAGCAAATAAAATCTTCATATTTTGAATTGTAATTTTGCTAAGGAAGTATAAGACGCTCTTGAAATTATCCACAAATATTTTTGCAAGATCGAACAAGAGAGAATGAACAAACGCATCAAGGAATATGAAACATCAAATGAATATGAAGTTTATCTTCATATATGGTGCTCTAACATTGGATTCCTCGAGGTCTGCATTAAAAACTTCATTTATAACAAATATATCATATTCAAGAATTCGGGCAAGAAATCTGATACAATCCTTGATTCAAAAGATAGTAGTGCTTTAGTTCAGTTTTAGGAAAAATTTAGGAAGAATGAGATCATTGAGAAACTCGACAAATTAATCCAACTATTAAAATATAAAGGAAATATTTCAAGAACATCAAAATAGTCATCATCAACTTCATCTTCAATATCATAAGAAATAATTTAAAAATCATCCGACGATTCATCATACAATGGATATAATGAATAAGCTTTATCCCATATAAATTATTAAGATGTTTTTCCTAATAAAAACTCGAAGATTCTTCATCTAGTAGAATCTTTGAAAGAAAAAATTATGAATAAGCCTCATCAAGAAGAATATTTGAAATTTCAACATAAAAAGATCATTTGGAGACTCCATGTTTTGCATGTAATTAAAGAAGCTCTCGATAATGCACTTTTGATGATGACAACTATACGGGGAATTTGATAATGGAACTTGAATTATTATTCAAATATCACAAGTGGCGAAATAGTAGACAAGTTAGGGTTTAATGATCACTACAAACATCCTCTAATTATTGTACCTAATTTAAATAAATCTCAAGCGACATCTCCAAGAAGATTAAATGAAGTTTCTATATGATTGGTTTACTTGACAATTCTTGAAGCTTCAATGTTTAAAAGAGAGAAAGTGTGAAAGCTCGCCCTGTCACGTTTGAGTGAACCGTCTTTTGTAAAAACATAAGGGCTTTTTCGTAAAATTATACAACTAAATCACACACATACATATACACTAAAACAAGTTTTTAAGCCTCTATTTCTTAATAAAATATCTGCAAAAATGTTTTTGAGTCGTGTCATTTGAATCAGAAATCATTTGAATGGTTTCAGCCAAAAATTATATTATCCAATCGATTGGCACTCACGCCCAATCGATTAGGTTAGTGAAAAAACTATCTTTAAACGTTTGGGAAAGAGTCTTCATGAACGACAGTGTCTCTGCATCTTTTCTTTCTGTTTAAAATTGGATAATTGTTTTATTTTTCAGACCTTTCAATTGATTGGAGAAAGGCGTCAATTAATTCACACATTAAATTTGGCTCGTGGAAAATTTCTTTTTTGTGCCAACCTCTAGCCTATAAATAAAGTTTCTTCCCCTCAAAATTTCACATCCAAAAGTGTGAGAGTTTTATCTCACACCTCACTCTCTTTGTAAAATATTTTTCAACTTTCTCTCACATAATTTTCGCCGTAGTGCTTCAAGAAAGTCCTTTTGTATCGTGAGGAATTTTTGTATTCTTGAAAGGGCATTGTTGTAAATTCACCAAGATTATTTCTCTTGGTTGAATAATTTATCCATAAGGGGGGTGTTTGTTTGGGTTAAAATCAAAATCCATTAAAATCTTGGGTTTTTAGATTTAGGTTCTAAGTCGTCGGTTCGGTTCGTAAGCTAAGCATGGTTACAAGTTTACCTCGATTTAATATCACCCGAGTTTAAATCTCCACTTGATTCTAGTTATTTTAGTAAAAATCACAGTCCAGTTCGTAAGCTCATCCTGGTCAAAACATGATTTTATTAGAGATAATCCTGGTTTAAAATATCAGTAGTTTGTGGTTAGCCTGGTCGAAACCCCAGTTCGATTCATGAGTTCAACCCATTTCAAAATCTCACCTAGTCTGTGGAAAATATAAGTTTAGCTTGGGGACTAACTGCTTCAAGTTGTTGTTTGGAAAGAAGACTAGCCACTTTAGTATATTGTTTGAAAGGAAGACTTATTGCTTCTCTCCATAAGTGTATGTTTGAAAGGAAGACTATCTGTTTTTCTCCATTGTTGGTTTGGTTGGAAGTTAACCCGAAACTTCATTTTTCTTGTATAAGGGGGTTCAAGATCTTAACCTAATAAAATATCTTAAGCATTACTAGATACTCTCAAGATCAAATATTGGGGACATGACTAAATCTTTTTCACTCAACTTGTATAAATTCATCTTGTGTTTTCTCTTTCCGCGAACCTTTTATTTTCTGCATTTTTCATTTCCACTGCTAATTTCTGAAACGTTTTTTTAAATGTTTTTAAACTTTAAAAATAATTATAAAAGTTTTTCAAACTGTAGTTTTTCTAAAACCCACAATTCTCACACTTCTTGAGTATAGAGTCACATGTTTAACTAACTCATCATCATATAAATAAGATATAACCTCAAAAGTCTCATGTAAAAATTTCTTCAACAATAACTTTGACAATTCGTCAGAAGATTCACATAAAGCATCCTGTTGTACCCCAAAATTTTCTCCCTGTTTTTAAAGACAATTCCTCACAAAGGATCTCCAATGCTCAAGGATTCTCAAGAATTGATCAGACAAAATCACCTCCGAAACACTGAGACCAGAAATTAGGGTTTTGACTGAAGTTGATTGATCATCAACTTTTGACCTAATA